TTCTGACCATAATGGTATAAAACTAGAAATTAATTATAAGAAGAAAACTGGAAAATTCACAAATGTGTGGAGATTAAACAACATGCTACTAAACAACCAATTGATCAAAGGAGAAATCAAAAAATATCTTGACACAATGAAACTGGAACTATACCAAAACTATGGGAAGTAGTAAAGCAGTTCTAAGAGGAAAGTTCATAGTAATAAACACCTACATTAAGAATAAAGATCTCAAATAAATGACCTAAATTTATGCCTCAAGGATTTAAAAAAAGAAGAACAAATGAAGCTCAATGTTTGCAAAAGGCAGGAAATAACAAAGATCAGAGTGGAAATAAATGAAATAGAGACTAAAAAGACAATAAAAAAGATGAAACTCAGAGCTGGTTTTTTTGAAAAGATAAATAAGGAAAACTTTAGCCAGACTCACTAAGAAAAGGAGAGGACTCAAATAAAATAAGAAATGAAAGAGGAGATGTTACATATGCTACCACAGAAATATAAAGGATTATAAGACTACTGTGAACAACTATATGCCAACAAATTCGACAATCTAGAAGAAATGGATAAATTCCTAGAAACATAAAACCTACCAAGACTGACTCCTGAAGAAATAGAAAATCTGAACAGACCAATTAATAGTAAGGAGATTGAATCGGTGATCAAAACTCTCCTAACAAAAAGTCCAGGACCTGATGACTTCACTGGTGAATGCTACCAAACGTTTAAAGAAGAATTAATACCATTTCTTCTCAAACTCTTTGAAAATAAAAGAGAAGGGAACACATCCAAAGTCATTTTATGGGGCCAGCATTAACCTGATACCAAAACCAGACAAGGACACTACAAGAAGAGAAAATTACAGGCCAATATCACTGAAGAACACAGTCACAAAAATCCTCAACAAAATATTAGCAAACCAAATTCAACAATACATTAAAAGAATCATACACCATGATCAAGTGAGATTTATTACAGGGATGCAAGGAAGGTTCAACATCCACAAGTCAGTCAATATGATACACCACATTCGCAAAATGAAGGATAAAAATCATATGCTCTCAATAGATGCAGAAAAAGCACTTGACAAAAATCAACATCCATTTTCATAAAAACTCTCAACAAATTTGGTATAGAAGGTACATACCTCAACAGAATAAAGGCCACATATGACAAGCCCACAGCTAACATCATACTCAATGGGGAAAACTGGAAGCTTTTCCTCTAAGATTAGACAACATCTATCAGATACATAAAAAAGAATGCTCACTTTCACCACTTTTATTCAACATATTACTGGGAGTCCTAGCCAGAGCATTTAGGCAAGAAAAAGAAATAAAAGGCATCTAGATCTGAAAGAAGGGAATAAAACAATATCTATTTGCAGATGACATGATATTATATATAGAAAACCCTAAAGATGCCACAAAAAAAACCTGTTAGAATAAACAAATTCAGTAAAATTGCAACACACAAAATCAATATATAATAATCAGTTATGTTTCTATACACTAATAATGAACTATCAGAAAGAAATTGAGAAAACAATCTCATTTATAATTGCATCAAAAAGAATAAATTACCTAGGAATAAATGTAACCAAGGAGGTAAGATACCTGTACATTGAAAACTATAAGACACTGAGGAAAGAAATTGAAGACAGAAATAAGTGGAAAGATATTCCCTGCTCAAGGATTGGAAGAATTAATATTATTAAAATGGCCATACTTCCCAAAGCAATGTACAGATTCAGTGCCTTGCCCATCAAAATTCCAATGGCATTTTCCACAGAAATAGAATAAACAATCCTAAAGTTTGTGTTGAACCACAAAAGACCGCAAATTGCCAAAGCATTCTTGAGAAAGGAGAACAAAGCTGGAGGCATCACACTTCCTGATTTCAAACTATACTACAAAGCTAAACTAATCAAACAGTATAGTATTGGCATTAAAAACAGACACATAAGTCAGTGGAACAGAATAGAGAGCCCAGAAATAGACCTATGCATATATAATCAGTTAATTTATGACAAAGGAGCCAAGAATATACAATGGGCAAAGGACAGTCTTCAATAAATGGACAGCCATATGCAAAAGAATGAAACTGGACCCCTATCTTGCACCATACACAAATATCAACTCAAAATGGATTAAAGACTTGAATGTAAGACCTGAAATTATAAAACTCCTAGATGAAAACATAGGGGGTAAATTCCTTGACATCGATCTTGGCAATGATTTTTTGGATTTAACACCAAGAGCAAAGGCAACTAAAGCAAAAATAAACAAGTGGGACTACATCAAACTAAAAAGCTTATGCGAAGGAAACCATAAATAATACAAAGGCAATGGGAGAAAATATTTGCAATTCATATATCTAAGTGGCCAGTATCCAAAAATATATAAAGAACTCATACAACTCAATAGTGAAAAAACAATCCAGTTAAAAAATGGGCAGAGGAACCAAATAGATATTTTTCCAGAGAAGACATTAAAATGATCAACAAGGACATGAAATATTGTTCAATACCACTAGTCATCAGAGAAATGCAAATCAGAAGCACGATCACCTAAACTCCAAATCAGATACACTTCACTTCTATTAGAATGGCTACCATCCAAAAGACGAGGTAACAAGTGTTGGAGAGGATGTGGAGAAAAGGGGACCCACGTGCACTGTTGGTGGGAATGTAAAGTGGTGCAACCACTATGGAAAACCATATGGAGGTTTTTCAACAAATTAAAAATAGAACTACTATATGACCCAGCAATCCCACTTCTGGGTATATATCTGAAGGAAATGAAAACAATATCAAATAGATATCTGCACTCCTTTGTTCATTGCAGCTTTACTCAAATAGCCAAATATGGAATCAACCTAAGTGCTCATCAACAATGAATGGATAAAGATGACATGGTAAAAATTTAAAAAAATAAATTTCAAACTCATAGAGACAAAGAATAGAAAAGTGGTTGCTGGGGGCTGGTGGATGGGGGAAATAGGGAGAGTTGATAAAAGGGTACAAACTTTTAGCTATAAGATGAATAAGGGCTAAGGATCCAATAAAACATGGTTGATAACACTGCAAACTTGAAATTGGCTAACAGAGTAGAACTTAAATGTTCTCACCAAAGGAAAAAAAAGATAAATATTTGAGGTGATGAATGTGTTAATTATCTAGATGGAGGGAATCCTTTCACAATGTCTAAGTATATCAAATCACCACCATGTACTCTTGAAATATCTTACAATTTTATTTACCAATTATACCTCAATAAAGCTGAAATTAAAAAGTGACGAAAACAAAAAATATAACGATTTTTTCATAATAAAAAATAAAAGTGTGAGTTATTAATAAATATATGAAATTTAAAGCTATAGGCATGGTTTAGATCCCTTAGAGAGAAAGTGTAAATAAGAAATGAAGAGAGAGTACTAACTCCTGGAAAAGTCTAATATTTCAAGAGCATGAAGAGAAGGAGGTCAAGCCAAAGAGAGTAAAACCAACCACAAACAAGTTTGGAGGCAAACAAGAAGATGTGTTAGCCAAAGACAAATGAGAAAATATTTCAAGGAGAGAGTATTCTACACTATCAAATTCTCTTGAAAAGTCAAATAGGATGAGAACTAAGAATTGATCATTATTTTATTATTCTCTTTAGATTTGGGAGGTAGCTTTGAGAAATAAAATTTTCCTTAATAGATTCTTTTTTCCCCTGACTTCTCTTTAATAAACATAAAAACATTCTGCTGCTGTAAAGTATCATTCAAGAAAGCAATTATATTTATCTACTAAGTGGCAGGTACTGTATTAAACCCCAGTGAGCAATGTTCTTATTCTCTGGGAGCTCAGAGTTGTTTTAAAATTATTCTTAAGAACAGAAAATTTATTTACTTAGGCAACCTATTTTTTGATTATTGGAAGATGAAGCTTGGATTAGTGAATTCTTAAAAGATGTTTAGGAAAATAATTAGATATGAGAGTTTTTTTTAAATGAAACTCAATATATTGAAAGGAAGTGATGGGGCTAGCCGCATGGTGTAGTGGTTAAGTTCAGTGCACTCCGCTTCAGCAGCCTGGGTTCATGGGTTCAGATCCCAGGTGCAGACCTACACCACTCGTCAGCTGTGCTGTGGCGGTGACCCACATATAAAATAGAGGAAACTTGGCACAGATGTTAGCTTAGGGCAAATCTTCCTCAGCAAAAACAAAGAACAAAAGGAAGTAAAAGATGTAGAAAATGTAACAGAATACAGAACCTAGGAATAAAAGATAAAGAATAATTTTGTATTAATGGTGAACCTAATGAGCCACCACTAGACAGTGGGGAATCCAAATGAATATGTTCGTTGCTTATATTTCATGGTTCTCTAAACAACAAAAACCTCTCTTGCTTGCTTAGCTCCTTATTTTGGATATACGTTTCAGTGTCTTTTCATTGTTTATGGTTCAAATGCATTATTCTTCATTTTAATACTTGAGGCACGTCCAGATGCTACCTGTGCATGGTATGTTCACCTTAGAAACTGGATGTAAGAGATATGTGAAATAGAATTTCATTTCTCAAATTTATTATTATTTTACCAGTCTCAAACTGAGCATAATTGCTAAAATTATAATTCTTGGGAATTATAAAGCATACTATTAAGTTTTTTTTTCTTGTACTTATAAATATATACAGGAACATTTGATACTATGAAAGTACTTTTTTATTTAGAAATTAGTATATTACTCAAAACAGCATTTATTATTAATGTGTTTTCTTTCATAATCATCAGAATCTACAACTAAAAATTTAAGGCATTTTTCAAATGGTACTGAGGAAATTGCTTTATCAAAATTTGTTGAACAATAAAATCTAGGAGCATGTAATTTATTTGGATTCAAATCATAGCAATTTTACAAGGTAAGTTCAGAACTGGACTAAACATGAGGTGCTCTGAAAGATGTCTTACTAAATATTATTCAAGATTTTTCCCTTTCCTTTTCTTTCCAACAGGAGGATTATACCGACTGTGGTGGCGTTTCTGGATTAAATCCTTCCCTGTGGTCCATCATCGGAATCCAGTTTCTACTACTTTGGCTTTTATCTGGCAGCAGACACTGCCAGTTATGACCTTCTAAAACCAAATTTGCATAATTAAACTCCAGACCCTGCCAAACGTGAGCCCTCATTTGCATTAAAATAGGGTCAATCGTGGAATCAGCAGAGCACTAGCTGGGCCCATACCCTGGCATAGATCTAAGGCGCAGACGCATAAGGCACCCACTGGCTGCATGTCAGGGTGTCAGATCCTTAAACTTGTGTGAATGCTGCATCATCTATGTATAACATCAAGCAAACTTCTATCTGTGCTCTAGTGGAAAATTTGAGAGTGTGTTGTTGCCTTGTTGGTGATTACATGTAAAAGGGCTCCCCATACAACTGTTTATGAATCAAACAAATTGTCTTGATTTTGACCTGGAATTTTGACTTGCTGCCATCCTCGTTCTTTTACCAAGAAAATCCCTAGGGGAAAAAAAGAGTTACTTTTGCCTTCACTTATCCTTCTGCTAAAAATTATTTCCTGCTTTAAGTAGTTATTATTGAAAAAATTATATATCGAGAGAGAGAATTAACATTGGTATAATCTGTTGAAATAGAATAATGGCTAATTTTCTACAAAAAATTTGCCATGAATAAACTGCCTTATGAAGAGTGGCTTCTCTGCCAAAAATATAACAAATGATGACCAATTAAGTTTTGATGGGGTAATGAATTGGTTGTTTGAAAATAATAACTAAGAAATTATTAAACTAAAGGTGCTTGAGGGTGAAATTTGAATATGTGACATATTTCCTCATAAATGTAAGCCCTTAATAAACACTTAGATGTAATGTTCCGTTCATTCACAGTAAAGTTATGTAGTGCTAGCCAGATATTTCAAAATGCTCTAAGAAAAGCTTGTTGGGGGGAGGGGAAAATGTTCTTTCTTGTGATTAATGACCTTTGGTTACCAAGGGTATTTTGCATGATGCTGCTGCTATTTTAACTTTCAGTTTGTTTTTCTCTTACTGTAGAGTATAGTCCATTGAAAAGTTAACTGAGTGACATTATTGTTATGTAAGAATCTGAACCTTGCAGTGTAATGCACTTAAGTCATCTTTAAAAATGTCGTTAATCTACTCTGAATATACTGTGTAATGTAAATGCTGAATGATTGGGTTAGGTCAATGATGAAATGGGAATTAATGGATTTTATACAGATTCGTGCTTTTGCCTGTAAACCTATGTACAGATATTTTAAGTACATAAATCAGATTTGACACATTTATTTTTTGAAAAGTACATATACGTTCTCAGTGAAGATTCATCCTAGGTTTCCTCTTTGTTCGTTCATATAGTAGCACATACAATCTAGAAATTGCTGCTGCTGCTGTTTTGTCTCTCCATTTTAAAGGGTATGATCACTTGACCAAAATTTCCATGCAGTTTGATGAGGGTTTTACAATAATCTGAACAAATAGGAAACCTTGAATCTATATGTATGCACATGAATACTTGATTGTGAATAATCAAAATTGTTTTTATACAGCCTCATTGGTGGAAATGGTTAGTGTAGTAAATCAGATATTTCATTATAGATTAATATGGTAGCAGAATATTATTTATGCTTTTAAAAATTATTTTCAGGAGTAAATAGTATTTGAAGAAAGGGTAAAAACAATGAATGTGTAACTCTAATTATAGTAAATAATTCTGCTGAAGGCTGGAAGTATGCAGATATTTTTTATGGTAAAATGCATTTGTTCTTTTTTTAAACATGCCAAATATTGGTGTGTGTATATGCTGGAAATTTTCTCATATATAATTTTTAAGTCAAAATCTTATTAACGTTATATAGCATGATTTAATATGTTCCACATATCAAAGATATAACCAGTTCTTTAGCATAATTTAAAAGATATATTTGTTTTGTTTTTAGCTTTGCATACATTTGTAATTCCCTCCTACCACCAATATACCCTAGGTACTGTTTGTGTACATTTCCTTATTTAAAATATTTTTTTATTTAAAAATGGGGCAGAGGGAAATGGAATCACTATGCCAACTATTGTTCTAAGAGTTGTCATCAGTTGCAATTTCTAATGCATTGTTGTGATTTTTTAGTCTCATTTGTAACTGATATTGACATTTTAGAAAACACCAAAGTGATTTAAAAAAATATGGAACTTCTCACTCTAGCAACAATATGTTTAAATCATGTTGTTTGTTAATTAAATATTTAAAACTTACTGTTAACTTTTGCTAGACTATTTTAAATCATGGAGTGTTGGGAAGGGGATATCAACTATAAAATTATATTAGTTTGTGTATATAAACGACGCACATTAAAACAATTGAATTGCTTCCAGCATACAACAAACTACCTTAAAATTATCTTTAAAATCTATTAAATATATTTTCATGGCTAATGTCACTGAAATAGTATGTTTTCATCAACTATATTATTGTTGTATTAATTGCAGGTAAACTTGGCATCTCTTGGCAGGATCCTATTTGATTTCATTTGCCATCAAAATATATTTACACACACAAGTCTTGCTCTGACCCTTTATTTTCTGTTATAAAATAAACTTATATGTTATGACAACCATATACCTGGTAATAAATTGGGTAAGAACGTGGTCTCTGACTAAAAATTGTCCTCACGCCTAATACTAGTCTTCATGCTTTTAGCATACTTTTTAACAGACAGTAACACTCATCCCATCAAATTGTTATATTTAATTTAGGATTTTTCTGTGTGTTCTAATTGTTGACAAGAACTTAAATTATAGCCTGTTATAAATACTGATTTTTTAAAGACTAAACAGTACAAGAGATCAAGAAAAAAGCTTTTAAGCTCTTCACTTATTTTTTGCTATACTCATGCAGCTTAAAGTAGTTTGTCACTAAAACAAAATCATTATAAGTCTTGCATTGGTGTTGAGTAACAGGAACGAATTTTGCATTAATAGTTTCTTTATATTTTCTTCATTTGAACAACCAGCATTACTGCCAAACACCAATCGTGGTCCATATTTGTAAAAGGTTTTTAACATGACATAGTTAGTTAGCAAGTTTGATTGAAGAGTTTTTTAGGTCCTCAGCCTATAAGAATTTAGTATGATCTTTTTTCATGTTTCTAATGCTTAAGGCATTATTGCTTAACTTGGAGAAAAACAGAACAGTGTTGCTGCCATTTGTAAGTTTTCCTATAATATTCCTTTTATTAACTTTAAAACTGGCCTTACTGGGTTCAAATAGGCAGTATCCCTTTTAAGTGACCTTGCAACCCAAGTGTTACTTGCTTATTTGAGGCTCTCTTGTATTTTACATCTCATTTAAATCTTTGTCTCCCAAAGCTTAAATTCTGTCTTAATTTAAAACTCTAAACTATTCCATTAATCATGTTAGTTGACATTAAAATATCTAGAGGTACAGAGTTTGACCAGTGAAACAAAATGGATGTTGTGACTTTTTTTTTTTAAGTGTAGAATAGAATGATTATTTTACTTGCCCACAATTTCAAATATTTTATTATTATCTGGAACTTGTGTTCTTTTTCCATAACAGAATGTTAATATTGCCACTATTCTGTGTACATTTCTGTAAAGAGCAAATCAATAAAACAAAAGTATCGAGTGTTGAAAAAATTCCAGAATTTCAATGACTTAGACAAGCCTTTCCAATAGTTTCATCTACCTTATTTCTAGTTCACATAATTAACTCAAAGAAATTCCACTGAGACGAATGGGATACTGTCTTGTATAGATGCCAATTGAGTTTTCAGCGTGACCTGACAAAGCTGTCTTTTTTGTTGTGCTGTGTCATTGTTGGATCATGCTTTTAGGGATACTTTTATTGAAATGCTCAGTGTGCATCCATGCAAAAGGCCAAGTGGCTTTGTGAACAAAAGATCTTTTCTCCCCTTTATTATGTTCTCTTGACACTTTTGTGTAAATTAACTAGCCTGATAAAAACATTTTGTAAAAATTTGTATAATAATGTTATAAAAATATTTATAATCCCAGAAAATGTTGTGTTAAATCTTGTGCAAAAACAAACAGTATATTCAGAATAAAAGTTTATCATTTAAAGTCACCACGGTTTGGATTATTTAATTATAAAAATCCAGTTGAAAGAGAGAGATCTCTGTCATGAATATATTTTAAGATAGCAGGCTGTCCTGCAGAGAAAATTCTAGATTGTGGCAATAAAACTTGGGATTACAAAAGTACTTTTATGATTACAAACAAACAGATGTAGTGGCAGCTCCTTGACATAATAACTTGGACTCTTCTCACATGTGCTTTTGCCATCAAGGAATTTAGGAACTAATTAAATCAGACTTTGGCTTTCTATTATAAAAAAAAAATGTGCTAGGCAAAAATAATGATTCCACGTTTCTTTAAAGACTTGGGGAAAATAGTTTGAAAGAAACAAGTTAGAATATCTGAAATGTGCATATCTTTTAAACATCTAACATTTAAATATTTCTCCTTGCTATTATATGGCAAATAGCAGCTGAAGCATTGAAGTCTAGTGTAAAGAGTTTAAAAAAAACTGTTCGGTTCCTTTTCCATTTATACCAGCTTACCACCTGCCCTCCTATGCTCACCTAATAAAGTAATGAGCCTGATATTGTGTGGAATCTAGTATAATGGAAGCCTACTTTTATTTCTGGGGACTCTCATCAGAGAAGGCAAAAATACCTACACGTGGGAAGAATGTAGTATATATGTGAGTACCAGCGATGGTGATTCCTTGAAAACCTGATTCCTAGTTTCTAATCAAGACATTTTTACAGGAAAAACCCTACTTAAAAGTGTAAGGTAGATAACATTTGTTTTTTGAACATCTAGCTTCATTCTGTACCAATTTATCTCATCAATCAATCCTCTTACTCCCAAGAGACCCTTATTTCCTCCATCAGTCATCTTGATCCCATCCCAACCTCTTCCCTTGGGACTTTGCTTCATCAATTCTCCTTTCTCAAACATATTCAGCCTCCCTTCCTTTTCTGCGGGCTTACTTCCCTCTGCCTGCAAACATGTTCGGAACACTGCTATGTAAAACAGACAGAAAAATTGAACAGCCACTGCTGCCCATTAGCCCTATTACTTCCTAGAGTTATAAACCTAGCATTAAAATACTCCTTTGTACATCCACAGACACATATTGATAGTCTCTTCTCTTTGCAATATACACAACTAGGCCTTAGAATTTTATATCTGAAAGGCATATTATCTCTGACTTTTAGTTTTGGGCTACCACTGAAAATTTTTAGTTACTGGCATGGGATCCTAATAAATTCAAAGTTTCTTGATTCAATCATTTCTTGATTCTCAAGTTCTTTGTATCTTAAAGTGGAGTTATTCACACAGCACCTACACAATTTTCTATAAATTGGTATACAATCAACAATGCTGTTTATTTCATATTTTTTAGTTAAATGGACTATTTTTTTAATGTGTTTAAGAAGGAAATTTAACATTACTGCCATAATTGGAAAACCAATATAATTTTCCATAATTAGTATTTATGTCACAGGTTCCTATCTATTATAATGAAACCAAAAAAATCACTCAGCATATGCCAGTGTCAAATGTGCTAAATTTAACATAACACTTCTTCCACACATTTATTGTAATGATTGGATTAGGCAGTTTTTCTATTTCTGCCACTCATGTTTTAAAGTGTAAACCTGGACTCAACTATCAATTGTAATTATTAATACATTAAAAAATACATTTACCAAAATGCATACTCATAAATTTTTTTCAAAGTTTGAGTTTTCTTAGCTGCATGGATTTTTTTCAAAATGCTTTATCATAATCATAATAGTTTTTGAGTATCTCAGGACCCTAACATGTCTTTAAAGGTTACATGTAACATTTTCATTGACATAAGGACACTGTATAAGGTACCTAGGGTGGAGTAAGATTGCTGATTTCCTATATTGGGAAGGACTGCTCTTTTTCAGATATTCTGTTTTCTATAATTGTTTAGTTTAAGAAAAAATGACCTTTCTTTTGTAAAATTATATGGTAGTTAATTACAACTGTTGTAAATAGCAAAATCATTAACAAACTTATGTGAGTTCTCATTTCTTGTGCTCCAATCCCTCATTTTTTAATTTCAAAATTATACTGATCTATAAAATCTGGTAACTGCTACCCTAGTCCTTATCATGAAGGCAGTACAGCCTCGTAGTGACTGCAATCTGTTGCTTAGCTTTGGATTATGACTTTACCACCTACCAGCTTTGGAACCATGTTTCCAAGCCTCAGTTTCCTCATCCATAAATAGAATAACACTAACTACATTGTAGAGTGGCTATAATGACTAAATGATGTAATTAATGTAAAGCACGTAGCATGGGGCCCAGCACAGGGTAAGCATTCAACAGTGCCATCATTAGTGTTATGAATTGTTATCATAATCATCTTCCTGGTCATCATAATCATCATTTTGGGCTGAGCTTTTAAGACTCTAATTATCTGCACCATTTGTCATTTAAAACATCTACTCGTTCTTTATTCAACTGAAGTATTAGAAGTAGAGACTTACACAAGATAAAACAAAACAAAACAAAACAAAAACCAGTTGCTTCCCTTATGGAACTACTGGCTAGGAATACTGAAAACTTAATAAGCATTCACAATAGTATAAGGTAACTGCTGTGATAGAGGAAATAAATGGTATCATGGGAGCTAACGGTAGGGTAACCTCGCTAGACTGAGCTGGCCAGAGAAGCCTGCCATGATTTTGAGCTGAGGGAAGGAGCTAGCAGTACTCTTGTTACAAATAGAGAGGAGTGTGTGAAAGCTGAGAGGTGCATGCAGGAAGTGGGCACAGCTGAATATGAGTTGAATATGGCTCAAGGGGTGGAGATGAAGTGGAAGATGAGGCTGAAGAGACAAAAGGGCCAAAGTCTGGAGTCCTCTCTGGGTCACATAGGCTGTTTAGGCAATTGGAACGTGCTGAAAATTTTTAAGAAGAGAATAGTAGGATCAGATTTGCATTTCAGGAAAAGCACTCTGGATGAAATGTGGATTATTGGTAGAACACCTACAGAAAGGGAGACCAATTAAGAGACTATTGTCAAAATGAGAAACTTTTGTTCTCTATCTAGTATAGGAAGCTAGATAGAGAAAAGTGGACTGACTTTAGAAATATTTAGAAGGGAAAAAGGAGAGAACTTCATGATTCATTCATTGTTGTACTAAAAGAAAGAACAAAATTTAGAATTACTCCCAGGGTTCTGAAGTTTAATATTGTGGGGAGTGGTACAATCCCCCAAATTAGGGAACACTGGCAAGTACTCAGGGCAGGCTTGAATTATGTAGGAGAAGTCTGGAGGAGAAAATGAGATTGTACTTCGGAAACACCGTGAATGAACTTTTGTACAGTGCTTAGGACACAAAAATGAGGCAATATGGTCTCTGCTGCCCAAGAATGTATAGGCCAGGATAATGATTCTCAACACTGACTCATTTAGAAAACCTTGCTGGAGGTTTTGTTGGTTTTCTGTTTTGTTTTGTTTTAAATATTGATACCCAGGACCCACTCTAATTAATTCAGAACTCAGGTGTTTCTACTGTGCAGCCAGCGTTACACTACCTGGGGGTATGTTAGACTACAGATGTGACAGTTCTGATGCAGGTTATTTCTGAATTATACCTTATAAAACCCTATTTAGATGCACACTATTAATTCGATTTTAAATGAACCCCTTTTTTGAACATGTTTTTTGAAATACGTACTATGCTCCCAACTCAATGGCAATCTTTCTGAGGACTGTACTTTTTAGTGTTTTATTTTTCTCTTTGGATCCAGATTATACAGCTCTACACAACTGATAATAAAGTTCTCATTGATTGTGGTTGTAATCGGGACCACTATTAAGACAATTCCTACTACAGGATATTCTATTCCTATTTAAGTCATGTTAATGATGATATTAAATGTCTCATAGACTTGAACCACAGACTTCTATAAATACTATCAGAGAAATTTCTTAATCAGGCTATGGCAAATAATACTGCAAGTCAGAATAAAATTAGGAAATGATATTACTTGACAATCTGGTTTCTGTATATATTATACTTAAAGAATGACTATTGCTTAATAAAATAAAAAGCTAATCAAAACTTTATAAAACCCACTTAAGAGATAAGTATTTCAGATTGATTTCAGACTACCCATCCATCTTAATCCACAGAACCTCAAAGAAATCTGACTGAGGCAAGAGAGACCATGATGTGGTATGTGGTGGAGATTCCAAACTCTGCAGTCAAACTGCCTGGGTCCACATCCCAGCTTCCCAACTTGGGCATGTTACATAACATGTCTAACTTTCTGTTTCTTGTCTGTCCAATTTATACTATTGACTCCATAAATATTTGTATATAAAAACAATGATAAGTCACTAATAGTTGCTCACGCCTCTACTTCCTACTTCAGAAGCTCAATCCTTCCGATGCTGCTGATTTCAAGAGTGCCCAGCGAGAATTGGTATCAAAAGGATTCCTAAGGCATAAGGAATATGGCCAGAACTTCTAATTTTTCACTCTGCTTGGCACTAGGGATACAATAATGATAATGACGAGAAATACAACCACAGCACAAGCTATAGGAGAGCATAGAGAGAAAATTTGCCCAAAAATATCACGTAAATAAACATATAATTGCTAACTCTAAAAAAATACTTTGCAATAAAAGATCTTGGTAAGAAGGAACTGATTGCTAGCGGGAGAACAAGGCCCAGTGGAAACTGAACTGGGTTTTGGGCCAGCCCTGGTGGCCTAGTGGTTAAGTTTGGTGTGCTCCACTTTGGTAGCCAGGGTTTGGTTCCCGGCATGAACCTACGCCACTCATCTGTCAGTGGCCATGCTGTGGCGGCAGCTCACATACACAAAAAGCGGAAGATTGGCAACAGATGTTAGCTCAGGGTGAATATTCCTCCGCAAAAAAAGAGAAATAAAAGGAAACTGAACTGGGTTTAGTGACTGGCCTGGGAAGAAGGTAGATGGAAGATCCAAACTCTTCCAAATCTCAGAAACAATTAGAACAATATGCTTGATTAATATAGATGCAAA